GTTCAGACTTAGAACCGTGACTACAAATCGAGTCCGAGCTGTAGCGAGGTCCCCCGCGGGCTTTGTTACAGTGGACAGCAAAGGCATCAAACTGCTTTGAAAAGAATCAAAAGCCTATTTGGCCAAGCCTCCAGTACTGATGCACCAAAGAGTGACAAACCCTTGAAGTTGTACATTGCTGTAGCAGAAGATTCACTGGGAGTTTTCTTAGCCCAAACAATGAAGAAGGAAAAAGAGAAGCAATTTATTACCTTAGTAGGTTTTCTTGTCACGATCCCAAACCCGCCCCTATAGGTTTAGCATCGTAACCGACCAGTAATTCTGGGATTACCAAAGGCCTCTTGAGACAAATTGACATAATATTAGGGCGGTAGCGGAAGCAAAATAACAAATATACAACGTCCGTTGAGCTGTGCCAGACTTATATGAGACATAAAAATTTTAAACTTTTTTTTATATATACATTATATACACATCATCCTTTATGTCAAATATTATATATATATAATTAGACAAAAAGGGACTTAGCCCTATTACAAAATACACAAGACTTGCTTAACCAAACAGGAAAACAAAACTTAAACTTAAATCACATAGCCATAGCCATTTGACATATCCGGAACTTCTACGGGAGGCACATAGGTTGGCTGACAAAAACAGATTCCAGGTAGATGCCTCTAAGCTTGGTCACACGCTGATCACCTACATACATAAATAATATAGTAAGCTAGAGCCCAGTGAATAATAACAAAGTAAAGGGCTTTAATGAGTGATGTGCCGTCATAGAGTTAGAAATCAGAGTTTATATAAAAAAACACATGCTTATCAGAAACAGAGTCTTATGCATATTCAGATTTCAAATCAGAATTGGGTTTAGACACATGTTCATATTCATATTCTGCATAAGATCATATGTGGCACACCCATTAGCTATCATATCAACTTGGCCTTAAGACCCACATGTATAGTCGGTACCGTGACCTAAAAAGTCCATATCTTGCGCACAAGTAGCCATGGTATTTACCCCCAGGCGAGGGCCACGTGAAGATAGGCCTCAGTATTGTTACCCCCGGGCGAGGGCCACGTGAATATAGGGTGCCACAAATATATTTAAGAAAAATGGACATTCATTCATAATCATGAAATAGCATTTCAGAAAACAGATCGTATCATATTAGTCAGAAAATACTTGTAATTAAACATAGCTTTACAGAGTTATTACTCACAGTGTTCTGGTGCTTGATTCATCCCTGCGTTTAACCCTACATAATTTCCTAACACATTAGGTCATTTTACAATTCATTCCGTTCTTTAACTTGTTTAACATTCTTAGGCTCCTTTCTTGTTCTTTAATTCATCTGCAATGGTTTAATGCATCCCTAAGAGTGCTTTGAAATGAAAAGAAACAAAAAATGAAGCATAAAATATCTTTTCAAAATTTCCAAAAACAGGCCATCCACTCGAGCGTAGCTTCGGCCGCTCAAGCAGACCCTTTTGGTCTGCAAAAGTACTGGTTGCAAGCAAATTACGCTCAAGCGAGACTTTTGACACTCGAGCAAAGAGTCTAGTAATACAGGGTACGCTCGAGCGAGACTCTCCACGCTCGAGCGGACAGGTCGAATTCTGGGTTTTTCTAGATTACGTTTGAGCTTCAAAACTTGGTTCCAACCAACGAAATTAATATCATAAAACTCATATTTCCACCATATAACTTTTAACATGAATATAAGAGCCAATTTTACAAGATTTGAATCTCAAATTACATAAATCCATCTCATAAACTCGAATCATATCAAGCTCACTTCATAACTTCAAAGCTCATGCAAATTAATTTCCATATCATTTTGAAATATGCATGCATGTGAAATATAGGCTTCATTTTCATCTTAAATATTACAATTGATGATCAATTCATGAAATTCAACATTATCATGCTTACATGTGCCAAATAGCCTTCAATTCATTATGAAATGCATGTTTGTACTCAAAATATACAAACTCATGACAATCCTTTACATGCATGTACACACAACTTCAAATTCATCAAATTCAACTCAATTCATGTCTTTATATCAAGCCCAATTCAAACTCACAAATTCTAAAACTTGAATTGAGCTTTCAAATTAATTTCAAAACTTGAGCTCATACATGGCTTGTCTAAAACATACAAACTCTTAAATAATCAAGAAAATATGATCAATTTTAAATCATTTACATCAAAACTCTTTTAATTTATAAATTAAGCTCATTGTTCATAAACCCATAAAACTCCAAAGATTAATTCTTATTTCATCAAAACATGAAATCAATTATTAGAAATCCATGATGCATGTACAATTAGAATATTAAAACTTGTAGAATTTGTCCATGCATGTAGAAATTAGACACAATTCATGCATGATATTCCAAAATCAAACCCAAAATAATTAATTTCTAAATTAATTTTTATAAATTTGAACATAGCTTCAATTTCTTGTTTTCTTTTTAATTACATAAAATTAACTTCAAGCTCTTACTATTTTCCTTTAAATCATGAAATTGGAGTCATGAAACTTTGCATGTATGAAATTATAATCAAAATCAAACCATCTACATAAAAATCCCTTTAATTCAAAATTAAGCTCAAAATGTTCATGAATTTATAATTTACTAAAACTTGCTCTTCTTATACCCAAACATGAAATTAATTCTTCAAATCTCTTAAACATTCATTGATGCATGTAAAGATGAAGTCCAAATTTATGAGGAATAACACAAATTAAACTCACTTGATAAATTTTCCAAATTAATCCCTTAGTTCTTGACCTTAATTCTTTTCTTTTCATTATATGTAAATTACATACAAGTGGATTCTATTTCTTCTTGATTTTCAACACAAGAAATTAAACATATGAGCCATTGAAAACATGCAAGATATATATACACTCTTATGTTATGCAAGATCTTCAAAACCAAGTGCAAAATGATGAAACATCAGACATGCAACCATGGACGTGAACTTAGTTTACTTGTCATCATCTTCTTGACATTTCCTAACAAATTTCATGTAATTAATCCCAATTATTTCATGAACTCAACCTTTAAATGAGTTTCCTACAAGATTTTAGCTTAAATTTCATACCTAGAACTTTAATTTGTTGAAATCCTTGAGCTTTCCCCTCTCTTTCTTTACTTCCCTTCTTTTTCTTTAATCCTTAGCTCTCCATCAAATTCCTTCCAACAAAATTGAATAGGCTTCATGTCTCTCTCTCTCTCTCGGATTTTTCCAGCCGAACAGATTGGTGATTGGCTTTAAGGCTCAAATACATAGCTCACCCTCTTTTTGATTTCATTTATTATTATTATATTAAAAAAATGGTGGGACACTTGTCTACCTTAAATTAATCCATGTGGTGATGTATGTTAGGATTAGTTTAACACACTAATTGTACATTAGCTTAATTAACCATAACTAATTATAGTTCTCACATAATTTAATTAGTCTAATTTGACTTCAATTAAAGCCAAATTATTATATTTAATCTTTACCATTCTGAATCAGATTTTTAATCAAACTCCCAAAAGACTCCAGATATTAAATTAAACTTATTTTCATTCTCAATTTTAGTTTCTTAAATCATCAAGGCTTCTAATTTCATATTAAACCTCAAAGTCTTTGTCAATAAATTATATATCAATTGAACACTTCCCAAATAAATTTAATTCATAATAATCTAAATTCTCAGTTCTCATAACTTAATAAACTCCGATTCGGACCCAATTAATCAAGTCTCAATTTCACAAATCTGAATTGAATATTTAATTAAACTCTCATATGGTCTGATACTCGAATTTAAAATAATTCAATTCACTAATTATACTCTCTTGTGCCATGTTGGCTTTCAATTTCTAATTCAAAATAAATTCTCAATAGAATCATATATGAATCAAACTAAATAATTCTTATGACCCCAAATTAAATTAGAACAATTGGCAATTAAAATTCAAATCTCCTTAATTAATTAAATGCTAATTATTATATGTGGTGGGGTCGTTACAGTTCTTAAATTCTTGTGAATGTAAATATTCAGCTATAGAAAAGCTGTGCCTTGCATTGTATTTTGCTGCAATGAAACTAAGATACTATCTTTTGCCTACAACTGTCTTGGTAATTGTAACCATAGATTTGGTTAAGTATATGTTGTCTAGACATATGTTGCACTACAAGAAGTTGGGTCTTGGATGACGAATTTTTTTTGTCTCCGAAGAGCTAATTTCGTCACTATAGATATTTATGAGGAAATATTTTCGTCACCAGGTTCATCATTGAATGTTTGTCACTAAAAAGTATCGTGACGAAAAATAATTGCGTCACCAATGAAATTACTTCAATGACGAAACTTTTTGTCACCAATAAAACAACATTTTGTCACTAAAAGTCCTCATTTTTGTCACCAAATAGTTGTTCAGTACCACATTTATAACTTTCGTTGACGAATAAATTTGTCACACATGTTGATCATTGATGAAAAAATAATTTCTTCACAGTAAAATGTAAAGCTGACGAAATTTTTTGTCTCCAAAAGTCAGACATGGGTGACAAAATATATTTCGTGACAAAAATATGTATACATGACGAAATGTTTAGTCACCAAACAACAAAATCAATAAAAACTTTCATATATAAGCTGCAATAAATTTTGTCACAAAAAATATTTATTAGCGACGAATAATTACTTTGTCATAATAACAAGTATAAATGATGAAAAAATTCGTCACTAAACTTGTCCCATATTTTATATTTCAACTAAAATTATTATTTCACAAATATTCCTGCTCATATCCCAATTGCCTTTTAAATGTACTAAAAAATCCACCCACTATTATACGTAGTCCACACAACAAATTCACTAAACAATTTATATTATAAATCAAAATATATCCATGAAATAAATTTAATAATAATCCATTAAGTATAACAAAAAAAACTATCATAGCAAATCCTAAATTGAACTAACTCCAGTCCGCACAAAAAATCAACTCTAGATCTTGATTTACAACTAGAACTAAATATCAGTTTAGGAAAAAAAAAAATTCAACACTTAATCTTGATTTGCAAGCACGCTTCCAAATGTCATCAAAAACTAATCTGCAAAGAAAATAAAGAAGGAAAACATTAATATATTGGCAATTACATCTAAACTCATATTTAAATAATTTATTTTATAAACCAATTTAGTAGAAATGCATATAACAATCCAAAACTTCAAAGAGTTGAAGTGATCTTTGATGATAAGCAACATGGATAACAAATTTGATAACAAAAGATTGCAGGAATAAAAGCAAACTTCATGTTAGGAACAAGGGACAAGACGGCAATTACTAACAATTAACAATAGTGGACTTAAATTAGTACTGAAAAAAATCACTATAAATAAATTAATTCTTCGGGGCAATAGCTGTGTAGGTGTTATATGAGAGGAGGGAGAGGACTGATATAAGACAGACTATGGGACAAGAAAAAAAAAAAAAAAACTAGAGAGACAAAGTTATAAAGGATGTGGTAGTGATGTCATAGACAAGGAAATTTGACAAAAAAATAAGGGTAATATTGATTTGGTGGTTTGATTATGTGACTTTGATTTCAATTATCTTGCAAGACTTGTGGTCATTTGTTGTTGCTTTACGGATTTGGTGGTTTGATTATGTGGCTTTGATTTCCCTCGACATGCACTTAATTAATTTCCCACGGCTCACTACTAAAAAAGCACTTTTTGTGATGGCAAAGTAATGGTATTGATTTTTGATTTCTCGCTACAACCTGCCACAAATAATGAAAAAATAGTCGCAAAAGACTTTTTGTGACGGCAAAGTAACGGTTGCAAATTATTTGCGACTGTCTAAACTACTTATGACGATAGCTATTTTGCCGTCGCAAAAAATAAAGAAAAATGCTAGCATATTTTTTGGCGACCATCTTGTTACCATCGCCAAAATATATATATATATATATATATAACATTAAGCACTCAAAATTGATGCTCATATCTACTGCACAATATTAGAACTCATGTATGGTAGTGATTTTAAATCAAACACAGTATTCAAGGTTTAATCAATTCGGACTAGTTTTGTTTTGCTACAATTCTTTAGTGGCTCCAACACAACTCTCATAAGTGACGGATGATGTTTTATTATCACATGAGTAAAAGAGAGAACAGATAAAATATTTATTATCTTAAAAATACTATCAAATGAAACACAAGTACAGTTCAATGCATGTTCATAATTGAATATGGCAGCGAACATTTAGGAGCTGATCTTCTGAGTAGCTAGTATGCCACTCACAGGTCTTGCTCCATTGCTTAAACCCAGAAATGGTACATTTAGCAGTGTAGATTGTTGTGGCAGCCAAGAAAGATGGTGGGAATTTGAGTATCTCATACTCCATGAGGCATAGGTCGATCAAGAAGATCGATAGGAGCCCAAGTTGTTGCAAGGTGCACATTAGAATTACAATTTCTCATTTAGGCTGACTATGATATGAAAAAATAAAAACTAAATAACACAACATATGGACCGAAATTGAGATTATCTTCTTACTTTCCTATCAAATTGAGCAGCCTTAAGGTATCTGATCAAGAAGACACATGGGGCTGAAATTGACATGTTGAACTGTAGTGTATTGAGCATCAATCTCTCCTGCATGAATTTGAACCCAAACATGTTTCATGTTAAAACAGAGTCTGTCAAACATTTAAGTGAAGCTTCAACTCTTACATTTTCAATTCAAACTATTTTCAATCGTTCAATAGGCAGCCAAAAAGAATTTATTTGTATTTTACTTTATTTTCCTGTCTTCGAGCTTTCTTGAGAACGGGTAGCATTTTAAGAAAATAATGATGAAATCTTTATAGAGAGGAGAAACCAAAACAGAAACAACAGATAGAGAAATATGTTTTAGTGGGAGAAAAAATTAATAATAATAACACACAACAGTCTATCAGAGTTTATCTTGGGATCTACATTAAGGCAGCCATTTAATAAAAGTAGTGTCTTCCATTGAAACCTTTAGCACATAAAGATAATATCATCTAACTCAAATAAAGATAAGGAAAGAGAAACAAATGAAGGAGGAAAAGCCCTCTAATAGTCCATTATAGTAATCTTCGGACCTACTTAAAGGAAACCACAGATAAAAGTAATGCATTTCATTGAAACTGTGGTACATAAGGACAATGCCATGTAACTCAAATTTGTAATTATTTATAACCCTTCATATGTTAAATTCCAAAAAAAGTTCCCTCGCCTGCACTATTTCTCTCACAACACATACTTGGCCAGCACTACATGATAAATTACAATTGATGGGCAGAGGATACAATTAGAAAATTGGGAAAAAATGTGGACACTCTACAACAAAAATGTGTAAGCTGCGACAAAAAAGAAAAAAAAAGAAAAAAAATGTGTATACATCAGAAGGATCTATCAGAATCTGGAATTGCATGACAATTACGCAAACTCATTAGACGAATATCTATGTGGATCTTAGACAAAATGATGGGTTGGGTATTCATGCTCATATCCATTATAGTCATAATATAGCCTCTCCCCCTTGGCAATATCACAAGTAGCAACCAAAAGGACCTGACATTCACCATTTACACTATACCTCACGCATTTAAGATTCTGCTTCTTCCTACCCTTCCTGCACAAAATTGGACAGGTTTCAAGAACAACAGGTTTAATATTCTCAATTTTTAAATTTATTTTGATGTCGATAAAAACAAAGAATTTTGTTATGTGGCTTCACTGGAAGAAATGGAGTACAGACATTAGAGTCGATGAAATGGATAAAGTCACCATCAAAATAAAAGCAGGGAAGCATTTTTTGAGTCTAGAATCTAGACAGCATGAGAGAGGATACACAAGCTTACGGAGTACGATTGTTAATGCCATTAATAAAACGAGCAATGTTTCCACGTTTATCAGGACAGATAAGAAGGTTGTTAGATGGGTCCTTTGCTAGAAGAAGGGTCATCATACTATCACAATCGTCATATTCCCGATTTGTAATGTAATCCACATCACCAGTATAATCTGTAATTAATGTCATATCCTTTATAGGCCCATCAGCCTCTATAGTAAAACTGCATTACAAACAAATAACAACAAAATTTATTCAATATGAATTAGAATTACCATATAAAAATTTGATAACACAGCAGTAGTTCAAGAATTTAATGGTGCATCCAAACATTTCATGGCTTTTGGGGTGGTATGAGATTTTGTGTCAGAACAGATTTCACCAAAGTCCATATTTTGGACTACTTTCAACTAAGGCTGCAAATTAACCGAACAAATGCTTTTGGTCAGCTCATAAGTTGGTTTGTTCACTCAGCAGACAACCCAAACTTGAGAACTATCTTTAAGCTAGCCTCATTAATAACATGTGTCCAATTTTATAATGTTATTATATATACATACGATTGGTTACATCATTTTCTATATTTTGCACTTAATCTTAACCATTCTTGATTCAATTCAATTTACGATTCACCAAATTAGGATTTCAATTCATGATACAATTTTCAATTTCACAACTATGTGTGTGAACAATAATACATGTTGAAGAAGTTTAGTTGATGTACTAACTCAACATTATTCATCTAGGTGGAAAAATCTAAAGCACTACTCATAACAAGTGGACCAAAAAGAAGTACATCAAACATAAGAATATAAAACATGAACCAACAACAAAATCTATAATAAAAACAAAATAAATAATAAAATTTATAATACGGATCATAAAAACCATATACAATTCACAAACAAAACCCATATCCCACAATCCAAATCGAACCAAATTTGAGAAAAATCAAAGCAATTGAGAAGAAAGAGAAAAGTGATTACCAAGTGATGAGGCTCCTCAAAACTTCGAGTCTAAGTGACCAATCTGATGTGAAATGAAAAAAGCCCTAGGCGGAGATGATTAGGAGATACAGAGTCAGAATTGGGAGATTTGGGAACGATGATCGATCAAGGTTTGTCTGCGAAAATTCGATTTTCCAAAGAGGGGAATTAGATTTTCCGATTGGGAAAAGGAATTGGAATTAGGTTTCTTCTCGATGAAGATTTTGAAATTCTTCCCTTCAGCTAGATGATCGTGTTTGGGGAAGAAGAAAGAATATCTAGAAAAATCAATCAAAAGGTTTAGGGGAATTAGTAAGGTCTTTTTTTTTTATTATTATTATCAATATCTCAAAGTTCTCCCTTTAAAATTGGTGATAAAATAATTTTTTCATCAAAAATTTTAAAATATTAAAATTATTGATAACAAAAATATATTCTTCATTAAATAGTTTTAAAACATTTAAAATCAAATTTTTTTATTAAAAAATATTTAAAATTATTGGTGACGAAAATATATTCTTCACTAATAATTTTAAGATAAATTACAAACACACCCCTTGAGATTTGTTTAAAATACATATTGCCCTTTGTGATTTTAAAAATTATATCCCGCCTTTTAAGATTTTTAATATCATAACGAATAACCCCTTTTAATATCAAATTAATTAATAGTTTTTAATAATGTTAAAATTTTATTTCAAGTAATAATTCAGGTAATTTATTATTATATTGGACAGCGGTTAAGAATTTTATTTTTTCACAAGAGGATATTTGTAATTTTTCAAACCACAGGGAGCAATCCGTATTTTAAGTAAACCTCAGGGGGTGCATTTGTAATTTACTCATAATTTTATAATTGATGACAAATTTTTTTCTCACCAAAAGTCTCAAAATTTTGGTGCCACCCAAAAAAATTAGAGAGAAAACCTTTAGTGACGAAATTTAACTTTTCCTCACATAAAAATAAGAATTTATTGACAAAAATAAATTTTGACACCTAATATTTTTACTTTTTTATTATATGTGACAAAATTTTATAATTCGTCACGGATTATTCTTATTTAGTGACGAAATTTATTTTCTTCACTATTTTTCGTCACCATAGATTACTTTTGTTGTAGTGTTGAGAAGAAGAAATGGCAAATGGATACTAGCTTTATTAGAATTTCATCTAGAATATGTACCCCAAAAAGCAATAAAAGGACAAGTTGTAGCTAATTTCTTGGCAAATCATCCATGTCGGACAGAAAGCCAAGAGATAATGGATCTTGGTATGGTTAATATTGAACCATGGAAAATGTGGTTTGATGGATCAAAAGCCAACGATCTAACTGGAATTGGTGTGATGATGAAGTCACCACAAAGGGTAAAAACCACACATGGTTTCAGAGTAGATGAAATTACTTGTTTCAATAATCAAGCTGAATATGAAGCTTTAATAATGGGACTGGAAATACTTATTAGATTGCAAGCTCAAACAGTTGATATATTTGGGGATTTTCAATTGGTGGTTAACCAAGTGAAAGAAATTTTTAAATGTCAAAGTACAAGCATGTTGCCATACTATGTTGTTACATTACATTTGCTTTCTCAATTTCAAATAGCAAATATGACTTATGTCCCAAGATTCATGAATAACAAAGCCAATGATGTGGCTCAGAAAGTTTCAAATTTCAGGAGAAGGGATAACACTCAAATGAACATAAGTCAAGCAACATATCAAAAAGTAATACCACTCTTAACTAAAAGAAATGTGGTGTTAGAAGTCAATCATAATGACTTACAAGACCAAGATTGGAGGTATCCAATAATGCGGTACTTAATTGGCCCATCTTCGAAAGCCAGCCGAAAAATCAAATTACAATCTATGTAATATATAGTGTATGGTAATGCTTTTTATAAAAGGGAAGCAGATGGGTTATTATTGGAATGTTTAGGGCAAAAGGAGGCATTGACAGCCATGGCTGAGGTTCATGAAGGCATCTGTGGTGCTCATCAGCCTGGTGTGAAGATGAGATAGTTACTTCGAAGACATTCCAACCATCCTTAAAGATTATATAGAGTATGTTAGGGATTGCCAGGCATGCCAAAAGAATGGCACGATAAGATATGTACCAATAACTGAGTTGCGTGCAGTTGTGAAGCCTTGGCCGTTTAGAGGATGGGCTATGGATATGATAGGAAAAATACATCCACCCTCTTTGAAGCATCATTGCTTCATCTTAGTAGCCACAGACTACTTCACTAAGTGGGTCAAAGCTAAACCATATAAGGCTGTAGACCAAATTGAAGTTATTGGATTCATTAAAGATCTGATCCACAGATTTGGCATCCCACAAACCATAACTGTTGATAATGAGACTGTACGTTATGGGAAGATGGTAAAGTCTTTTGTGGTAGAGTTTGGAATTAGCCTTGTTAATTCTACCCTCTATTATGCACAAACAAATGGTCAGGCAGAATTATCCAATAAGTCTTTGAAAAAAGGAATATAGAGAGTTGTGGAAGACAATCCCAGGGATTGACATAACTTACTGTTGGATGTATTATGGGCTTATAGGACTTCTCCAAGATCAAGTACATGAGTTACTCCTTATGCCTTAGTATATGGGCATGATGCAGTGTTACTTGTAGAAATTAACATCAAGTCCTTGAAGGTGAGATGCCAGAATCAGTTAGTTCCTGAGCAGTACCATCAGAGTATGTGCTTGGAATTAGAGAATGTTGATGAAGCTACAATTTTGGCATTAAATAGCATTCTTTTCCAAAAGAAGAAAGCAACAAAAAATTATAATAAGAAAGTCAAGCACATTAGCTTTGATGAAGGTGATTTTGTATAGAAGACAATACTCTCAATAGGAATTAAAAGCCACAAGTTTGGCAAATGTTCACCTAATTGGGAAGGACCATATCAAGTTCATAGAGTCTTGCCTTGGGGAGCATATCATTTGAGAAATTTAAATGGGCGTGTGCACCCTAAGAAAATTAATGGCAAGTATTTGAAGCCTTATTATCTAACTGTGTGGGAAACACAAGGAGTATAGTAAGTGATAAACAAAAGAAGCATGAAAACACTCAAATAATAAATAAAGAATTCATTTCATAAGGAGTTAAATACATGCAGCCATAGATTGGCCCAAAATTCAGTACAATGTTTCAATTGTTCCTTTACAATTGACTTTCTACTCTTAAGATATGGGAACAACTAAATGACTGTAGTCATGTCCTGCTTCCGATCAGCCAGTCATTGGTTGGTGATTTGTAGCTTGGTGGCAGTTCGATCCAAAGCCAAGTTGACTGCTGATAACTCTTCTTCTAGTTGAGCTTTCTTCTCCAAAAGTTGGGCTCAAAGTTGGGAGACAGAGGAATGCTGTTTTTTCTATTCAGATACCTCATCATGTATCTGGGAGACAAATTTCCGGTCTTTCAACAATTTCTCCTCTGTAGCTTTGGTAGCATTGTAGATGTTGATATAAAAATCAATGGTAGCTACTGCCTGAGATAACTGACTTGAAATAGCCATGCTGAATTCCTCAATAACCTTGCAGCACTGGAGGAAACCATTCTTGATAATAGGTCTTTGCAAGGCTTCGAAGGGGATCCTCAAGAACAATGACAGCAACTCCAAACAGCTACCCAAATCCAGTGAAGGTGAGGAAGCCCTACTAATGGTGGAAGAGCTCTAAAAAATTTTCAAGAGAGAATCAACCAGAACCAATGGCTCAATTTTATTATTGGTTGTTGGAATGGTAGAAGGCATATCAAAAAGGCTAGCTAGTCTAGCTTTGAATATGTCCACCTCTTCCATTGACATGGTTGGTGCAAAAAGGGCTCTAGTAGAAGGAAGAGATGGCTACATAGGAATAGGAGAGGAGGATGAAGTATCCCTAGCAGTTTCCATAGTCCTAGCTACCAGTAGGTCACGAGAAGAGGGACTCGAGCTGGATGGGGATAGTGGACAAGGAACTGGTGAGTTACCAGTGTCTTCTCTGAGAGAATCATCCATCACTGGAGATGAAGTAATAACTAGGATTTTCTCAGGAGGGGAAGGAGTAGCAAGGATTGAAGGAAGAATAAATTGGGCTGAATTAAAGGATATAAGAGGAAGGTATGTAGTTAAGCCAAAAGATAAGGATACACAAATGCTTTGCCTCAAAAAGGGTATGAAAAGTGTAGAATCAGGGAGTGGGAGTATTGCCTGAATGAGTTTTACACTTCGAGACACTACTTCTGATAGTCTTTCAACTTCAGATGAAACTGAAGAAGTCCTTATTGAAGGAGAAGGTAGAGTAGTTGTTGCTGCAAAGAAGAAACACGAAGCAATGTTAAGTTTCAGTACCAAAAACTTGAGAAAGGAAATTAGAGACACAAAAGGAAATTACTAGTTTCAGAAATGGTAGCAATGGTTGGAGAGCTGTGAAGAGTATAATTTTTAGTAGTTTGTTGTTTCCTTGTAGTTTCTCTTTGGAGTGCGTTAGCAGCAGCAGCTTCATCCCTAAGCATTTGTTGTTGTCTCCTCTTCTCAGCCCTCTGAAATATAATGATTTCTTTGGAGTGTTCCGTTTCCACTACTTTAGCAGATGCTTCATGAATGGGATCCTCAATGAAATTAGAGAGAGAGACCGTCATTTTCTTCTTTCTTTTTAATGAAGTCTCTTGTTTTTTTTCTACTTCCTCTTCTTCCATGTGAGCCTCAGGTACCTCTTCTTTAGGATCAAGCAAGAGCTTTCTTTTCCTTTTTGGTTGCTGCTTACTTTTGAGGAGATTTAAAGCTTGAGCTCTTTGAGGAGAATCTCCCTGTGAGGCATCTACACCACTTACACCAAAGAAGGAATTATAAGTAAAAAGCAAAAGCATCATAAAGAAGGAGAAAAGAAAAGAAGCAGCAGTGCATACTTTTTTTCGAAGCAGCTCGAGTAACTCTAGGGAGAGGTGAGGCAGCAGGAGCAAGCTTTGCAGTAGCAGGGATAAAAGTTGGGGTAGCTTGAGCAGTGGAGGAGGTAACAACTCCAGTCCCTTTGGACTTGGCTTGAGGTACATCTAGTACCATTAGCAAATCTTGAGAAGAAATGGCCAAGTACACTTCCATATTGGCCATCCACCAATTCTGGTACCTCTTTAAGTGTGTTACTTTGAGGAATGAAGGGTAGGTATTCAA